CTCAGTGTTTTCTACCATCATGTTGTGAACACATGATTCAGCACCTGACTCCAAACTACTGTGAATAGAACTGGATATATACATGTACTATAGGTCTACTATAAGTTCCACAGTCAATAAAATGAAAATGTTAGACGCAGTGTCATTGAATTATCATTGATCGCAGTTAATTTGATTAAACGTATGACACTATTCCCACAGATACGTACTTCAAATTGTTCGTGGAATACTACAGAAACAAAAACATTGATTTAATTTTGCCTGCATATCATGGAATTAAGTTCGTGTCTCAGCACCCATTGTGTTAGTTGAACTTGCTAGTTCATTTTCCAATGGGGACATTGCATTTGCTGCACCTGGCGGAAACAACATGGCGACCTCCGTGCGCTTGCTGCAGACAGTCTGAAAAAATGTGTTCGTTTACATAGTTTTTAACACCAGTGAGATGCGGTTATAGTATTTTGCAAAAAGCTCTTGCTAGAGCAACTACAGTGGAGATAACAAGATATCACATAAGGCGCAGAAACTATGCCTTTATTTGGACGGAAATCAAGTGAGATTGTTTGTCAAGTTGAATTCAAGTTTAATTTAAAATCACAATATGTGTTTGACTTTGGTATTTTAGTATAACGATTTAGATTGAACGTGCGATATTCGTTATTGCCACTGATGTAGATTTATTTTCACTAATGCAGTCATAGCTTTTTGTTTTAACCCATTAAAAGCTGCTACTGTTGGTTATGTACAATGAGGAAACTAATTATTTTGCCTTTGAATTTATTGAAGAATAGACTTGTTATCTCATACTCGTTTATGCAGTGAGTGGATATAAACCAAATGGTATAATTTGAACTGGATGATATGCTGCTATTGCTTTATATTACTCCCCCACATCATAACTTTCCTGTAACTTCACTCTCTCAAGATAAATAAATTTTGATAGTACCTGCATTGCTACTTCCATTGATTGGTTTTGAATGATGATTCAAGTTTTTTTTCACTTTTGGCTCCAAGTATTTAAAGAAAGGGTTTTAGAATTAACATTGAGTAACTATTTGGCATATTTTGCTATAATTGAGGTGGGGGAGTACTGTGCATACTGTGCATGTGAGCAAATATGCAGAGACCTAAGGGGATGTGACCGAAAAAATTACATTGTCAATACCAAAACGTATGTTGGTTCCCTTTTGAACAACTACTGAATATTGAATAATTGAGTTTTTAAAATAATGTTTTGGCTTTATAAGTCTTTGCTCATTAATTTTATGTACACAAATGCTATACTTTTCATTGATATGTATTTTCCTATATAATCACGCAATCAAATGCCAGTCCACTGATAAATTTCTAGACCCTTAGTTATGAACTCTGACTGTTATCACATGCATTATCAGTCAGCTGTCAGATTTTCAAGGACTCAACATACAGAAAGCTTTGCTGCTGTTTATGTCTGTAATCACATGTAATCACTTCCTATTTTTTCATTCCAGCTAAATCCAAGGGAGAGAAAGCTACTACAGCTAAAATGCCAAACAAACCATCTCCTGTACAGGGTGCTAAAGAGATAACTGGTACTGCGTCTAAAGCTTACCAGCTACAGCGTAGTCCAACATCACCAAATGGAGACATAGGTATACAGCAAATGTAGAAATAGTACCTATTAATCTCTTAACTATGTGCTGTGTTTTCTGTTCTTATGAATATTTGTTAAGAATTAACTATAATAAATAACTACAATAAGTAAATTGATTTGCAATTTTGTTAGGTTGTTAAAATTGTTTTATCAATGCATGGGTTACTCATGTCATGATTTTACCATTTTTAAGGATAATATTGCATGGAAACCATAACTTCAAATTAGTAAAATATGCAAGATGCAGTAAGTTTGCAAATTTGTAATGGTTATTTTTCATTTGTTTGTCATGATTTGGTAGCTTTTTTTTTTCTGTACAGCTGAAGTTCCAAGACAGACTTAGTTGTACTCTAGAGCAGCTTTTATATAAAATTTACTAATAAATAAGTTCAAAATTCGTTCTTTAAACGATTCTCACACTTACGTTATACTACTAACATGATTTTATTTGAAGGAATTCCTGATAACCCTCTTAAAGAACCTAGTGGTTCTGTGCCGAAGCCTATGTTACTTAGGTCTGCCAGCCACATAGATAACACAGGGGGAGATCTAGGTCAGTTTATGTAGAGGTTAAAGAGTTTCGATAAGTCTTTATGTGCATTTTTTCATATATTTGATTTTTTAGTTGTATTTTTTTCTGCTAAATTTAATCCTGCAAAAATTTACTTGAAGTGCTTTTGACTGTATTTTAAATTATTATTCCTGTTGTCATTTTCAATTTGAAATAATTGAATCTGTAAATATAGGGTAGTTTTAACCCTTAAAGCTTTTAGAGATATTTGATATATTCTTATGAAAATTATGTTATATGAATGCTAAAACATTTATACTAAGCATGGTGTGTTTGCTTTATTGCAGGGTTTAGCTCTCAGAATACAGATCCTATAGTCACTTCTTCCCGTCTGTCGAAAACCATTCATGAGGTGCTACATGACAAAGATGCCTTGGCTTACTTCATTCAGTTCATGGATTCAAAACATGCAGTTCATCTCATCAAATTTTGGTTAGATGCTGAGAGTTTCCAGGCATCTTCATATAGCCGAATTAGAACTCACTCTTTGCAGACACTGAGAAAGAATTCCACACTAGAACGGTCCAAACA